TACTTAAGTGTATGTAGCAATGTAACCTTAGAAAGAGAAACGAAATATTTCATATAAAACATTTAGTAACACTAATAGCTTACAAATTCTGTTTAAAAAACCTTAATACATGAATAATCAAAAGCATCGACTGTATTTTGTTTCATAAATCAGGAGCCGACCTACTGCATTAAAAAATATATGTATTTAAAATAAAGAATAATTAAAGTAGTCTATATACCATGAAGAAAATGTATTCAGAACGGCTATATAAATCTTTATTTCAAAGTGTAATGTCACACTGTAATCTTGCTAGTTTTTTTTAATTTTTTTAAATGTAACAGTTATATGAAAACGTATTTTTCAAATACAGTTACCCTCTTTTTTTTCTTTTTGTAATTTCGCTACTCCTCAAGCCTGTGTGTCATATTCCTCTACAGTGGCCTTGTTTTAAATGTTTAATTCACAGGCAACTAAACGTGTATCTTCTCTTGTCTGAAGGAAAAGCAGATGAGGTCAAAGAGAGCCTGCAGTCCATGCAAAAGGACATACTCTCAGTTGGACACTGGGTTGGAAAGTACCAGCAGAACCATGAGAAGAAGCGGGAGAAACGCCGGCTAAATACACAGGCTCAATACGAGCAATATGTCGCCTCCAAGAGCCATGGCCCCCAGAACACCGTGCTGAACGACCTGTTGGACTGGTCCGTCTGCTAAAAACAACAGCTTTAAATCCAGATTCAGACCAATTTCATTTTAGTGTTATTGTTATTGACCTTGTTTCTTTGTTTTCTTTATTGTTTTCTCTTTAGTAAACAAGTGTTGGGAAAGAAGAATGTCTTCAAGAACTGCATTGGAAAGGAAGGAAAAGACAGTAGTCCTGTCATTGATTCCTCCAACTATCTCCTCTATGCTGAGAAACTAAAGCCAAAGTCTGATGGTATGTCTCATCAGGGTTGGGAGGGATACTTTTGTAATCTGTTACAATAACTATTTACACTTAAGAAAATCTAATCAGTTTGATTTTGAGTATAAAAATATAAAAGGAATATAACCTGATTGCTTTCCATTAGTTTTGGATTACGTCAAAACGAAGTGCAATGCAAATGAAACAAGAGAAAGTCAATTAAAATAAGATGATTTGTACTTAAGTGTATGTAGCAATGTAACCTTAGAAAGAGAAACGAAATATTTCATATAAAACATTTAGTAACACTAATAGCTTACAAATGCTGTTTAAAAAACCTTAATACATGAATAATCAAAAGCATCGACTGTATTTTGTTTCATAAATCAGGAGCCGACCTACTGCATTAAAAAATATATGTATTTAAAATAAAGAAGAATTAAAGTAGTCTATATACCATGAAGAAAATGTATTCAGAACGGCTATAATATATCAATCTTTATTTCAAAGTGTAATGTCACACTGTAATCTTGCTAGTTTATTTTATTTTTTTAAATGTAACAGTTATCTGAAAACGTATTTTTCAAATACAGTTACCTTCTTTTTTTTTTTTTTGTAATTTCGCTACATGTATTACTCCTCAAGCCTGTGTGTCATATTCCTCTACAGTGGCCTTGTTTTAAATGTTTAATTCACAGGCAACTAAACGTGTATCTTCTCTTGTCTGAAGGAAAAGCAGATGAGGTCAAAGAGAGCCTGCAGTCCATGCAGAAGGACAGACTCTCAGTTGGACACTGGGTTGGAAAGTACCAGCAGAACCATGAGAAGAAGCGGGAGAAACGCCGGCTAAATACACAGGCTCAATACGAGCAATATGTCGCCTCCAAGAGCCATGGCCCCCAGAACACCGTGCTGAACGATCTGTTGGACTGGTCCGTCTGCTAAAAACAACAGCTTTAAATCCAGATTCAGACCAATTTCATTTTAGTGTTATTGTTATTGAAGAAGCTGGAGAATTGTTGTTTCTTAAGTAAAAATGTGTTCATTTTAAAACATCAAGTTGATCTGTCTATTCTCTTACAAACATGTTGGTTAAGATGTGTTGACTTTTCTACAACACACACAAGTTACCACATATTATCATATTGGAATTATGCATTTGAAACATGTTGTCTATTGTTTTAGCAAGCCAAGGCACCTAGGCTATAGTGCACGTGCACACACACACACAATGGTTGTATTATTGAGTACATTTAGTTTCAGTAGTTAAACAGAAGAAATGATGGCCATACACAACTTGACTGCAGAGGAATAACAGACCACATGAGTAAGCCATTTGTCAGTTTAGGCTAAAACACAAACATTTGAAGTGAAAACAAAAGTATACTATTTCGTTTTTTTGAAAATGCCCGTCAAGCTATTTGGGTTAACAGCTGAGTTTTTTGTTATTGTTTTATAGTAGACCCATTAGCCCACACACAACACACACTCCCGTGTAGCATACCTCGGGCGTTGTTCTCCACTGCGAATTTAAGGCTTTTTTTTTTTTTTAAATGAAGAGAATAACTGAAGAGAGGACAAGACATGTCTAGCCTTATCATAATACACTTGTTTATCTACCAAACCACCTGCCATGAAGCTATGTGGCGCATCCCCCTGGGTTTACAAATTACTGAAAATTGAAAAGGTTTTGACAGTATCTTCATAGCGTAGTGAGGATTGGTCTTCTACCCTAAGGTTATGGGTTCACTCCCCACCTGGAATCTTTTTTGTTTTTTTCTTCATTAAGTTGTCTTTTATTGTGTCTTGAAAGAAAGTGTTTTTCATGAAGACCCTTGGCTGTCAGAGCACCAAATCAGTCTCGATTGAAACAAAGTTGTTAGGGAGAAATAGTAAAAGCATTTGATAAGCTTTTTAACTTCTGTATGCCTAAAAGTGCTTTGTGTTCAAGGTTGGAGGTGACCTTGTTTAATCAAACAGAAAAGCAGTTGAATATTTAAAGAAAGGTTTTCAACAGTGACTTTGAAGTCTGTTTGATAAGTATAATCTAAAACCACCCAGTCCCTGTGTCTGTTAAGTACAATTGTATGATCATAAATTGAGAGCTGTAATTAAGTCCAGCAAAATGAGAATATGAAGCTTAGAGTCTGCACTCAATAGGATTTTTTTAATTGTTAATGTGTGCTGTTTCCATACGGTAGTCCAGCACAACACCACCTTCACCTAAAGTAATATTTACAATATTCCAACAATGTCCCCAAAAACAAATCTCTATGATTTTGTTGTAATAATATATATATTTATAGTGAATAACAATATAATTTAAATGTATATATATATATAAATAACAGTGAAAACAAACAAATTCAATCCAGGTATGATTAAGCATTTCAAAATAATGTCATGCATTTTGTTTTCTTTAGTTTTGGATACAATAGAATGACATACAGAGAGTGTGATGTGTCAAGTCAGGCTTCTCACAATGTGCTGCTTTAATTTTCACCCTGATGACAAACAAGGGTTCAATAATTCAGCCCCCCCCCCCCCCCCCCCCCCCCCCACCATACCGAGTGTGTAACAAATAGAGGCCGAGTCAATACAAATTGCCAAAACCTGATGACAACACAATTTGAAATACTTTCATCTTGACCTTTTCCTCGTCCATTGTCATTTCATTTTACGGTTATCATTTTTGACCTCATTTGTCTTTTGGACAGTAATAATAGGGACAGGTGGACTACTTGAAAAGCAAAAGCCATGAAAAAAGGGTTGTTTAGAACAGAAATAGACATTTCCGTGGTGCTTTGTTTCAGTTCTTATTTGTCAAACACACAGTATTTGGTTGCTGTATTAATGCTAAATTAAACTAGTTATGGATATAATGTAAAACATGTACTATCGACCCAAATAGTAAATGCAATACCTGCAGAGTAAAAAGATTTGGATACAAATTGAAAAGTTATTCTTAATTAATTTCAGCATGACACAGGTTATGTATTGCACAGGTACAGCAGATATCATCCTGCAATAACTTCATCATTTATATTCAAGGACAACATTGCAGAGTGATTCATTGCAGCGCTGTGCAGGTGATACATGGAGCACTTTTTTCAAATCTATTTTGAGTTACAGCATTTTTGACTGGATAGTAATAAAAAAAGACATAATTGCAAAGCTCTCGACTTTAAACTGAATTATGCCAGGGATATAACATTAGCCCCGCTTCACCTAAAGCTAATGCTGAAATTATTGGAAACATAATGGAAGCAAGAAGGTAAAAATCATAAAACAACATGTTTTTAAGTTTCTAGGCTGCATGATAGGCCTTGTGTTTATGCTTTTTTAATTAGATAAAAGCTTGTATCTGTTCTATTTATTACAATGTGATCATAAAATAATATTAAAATCAAGGATAAGATTTAGCTTTCATGTTTTAGATATAAACCTATCAGATCTGGCAGCTTACACCAAAATCACATGCCTCAATAACCCTGAATAACCAAGAAGTAAGAATAACCTTCATGACTATAATCTATTAAATTACATTTTATATTGTCCAGTAAGCTTTTATATTATGATATACAAGAGGCTGTGGAAACAATTACATCAGATTTGGTGATCAATTACAGTACCTCAATATTTATACTTTGGTTTGTCATTTTGGTAATCTAAGAAACAGGTGGAAGGGACTTCAGTGAGGCTCATAGCATTTTTATACTATTGTTTAAATACGTGTCAGTTTGGTGTGTGTGCCTCTCACAGGGCGATGAGTATCAAAATGCCCCCGGGTACAAGTGACTGATATTTGTCATTGAATGAGGAGCCAGAGAGCTGAATTATTGAAGTCTTGTTTTTCATCAACCTGAAATTAAAGTAACACACACACACACACACGCACACACACACACACACACACACACACACACACACACACACACACACACACACACACACACACACACACACACACACACGCACGCACACACACACACACACACACACACACACACACACACACACACACACACACACACACACACACACACACACACACACACAAACAATCACAGTCATTCACTCTAGCAAATTACTTCTGAAAACCTGCGTGAGGCACAAAGTCCAAAATGAAAGTCCAACCTATTACCTCAGGGTGTGTGCGTGTGTTCACTTGATTGTGTGTTTGTGTTTATTACACTGCATCATATTTATCAATTTACTCTACCTGATATAAAATCGACAGAGTTAACTGGACCTTATTCCCTAAAATGACCTTGTCCTGGTCGGCCCCTGAGGAAGATAAAATATTGCATCACCAAAAATAGACATTTTAAGGACAAAGCAAATGACCGGAATGTGTATTTATGATAGGATCAAACATACCATTAGGCTGGTAAAGAAGCAACCATTAATTTACAAGTCATTATGGCTCCTAACTGGATTTATGCAAGCCAATTTATCAGACATTATCTGCATTAAACATGCATGTATCTGCTGTAATCTGTGGTGAAGTGTGGCTTATTCAAGGACCTTCGATGCCACCTAGAGGGCGATTAAGAGACGACAAAGATCTTAACTGTTAGTGTATGAACTGACTACATTGAAGCTTACATGTTCTGTCTTCATTGAGGGACGCCTATGACGGGCTGAAAAAGCTATACATATTATTGAAAGTTCAGCACTATTTTTTTTATTACTACCGAATTTTATTACATATTTTATTTATTTTGTATTTATTTTTTCCATTCTATTTCTATGTAAACACTGCAGTGTTTTCCTATATTTTTTATTATTTCTAATATTTAATGTTATTTGTTATGTATGCACCATGACATCAAGTCAAATTCCTCGTACGTGTAAACCTACCTGGTAATAAACCGGTTTCTGATTCTGATAACTGATAATTAATACAATTCTGATCAGAAATCAAAAGAAAAAGACAATAATTTACGGGTATTTGAAATGATTTGTATATTAGAACAATGCACCAACATAAAGAAAATACCATCAGTACGAATAGCTGTAATCTTTCATATCTCACATAAGATCTCACTACCTGGAGTGACATATCCTGGTGCGGCGGCGCTGACGAAGGCTCCTCTCGCGAGGGCTGCTCTTCCTCTTCTTCGGGCGACCTGAGCTGCTACTGCTGAGGCGGCGGCGGCGGCCGCCAGGACTCCTTTTGTCTGGACAAAGACATGCTGTTTACAAACCAGCATGCACACAGGCTCAGTGAGTACTCAGGATGAAACATGTCGATCTGATAACGGTGTGATAAACTGTGATCTGATAACGTATGGATCCCAGTGCCACTGATAACTGATGAGTGAACAAAGTGGGAATAATTGCTCCACAGAATAAAAAGACGTTTAAACGTTATCATCTTTAAAGCTGCATGGACAGTTTGGCTCATGAGAAAGACTGCTACAGGTTGTATTGATCATAGGTTTGATACTGTTTGCTTTACAGCCCCATATGGAAGCAGTGTCTGGTATGTAGTGTGTATGTGTGTGTGTGTGTGTGTGTGTGTGTGTGTGTGTGTGTGTGTGTGTGTGTGTGTGTGTGTTTCCTTACCTGAGGCAATATCTTCTTTTTCTTGTTTACAGCTGCATTTGGACCAGAGAAGAGTTTTTCTAGAGCCGCTAGAGCAGCACTGGCCTTTGCTACTTTTTTATTGGGGCCTGCCCCACGAAACTTCTGTGCATCAACCTCCACCTGACACGAACACACACAAACACACACATAAAGAAGGTAACATATTCATCAAATATGCTTTAAGACTACTTATGGACAAAAGGAACATTTTGCATTTTGTGCATCTGGTTAAAATAATTGTATAGTTTTATTATCACTTCTATTAGTGGTTTCGCCATATAATACAGCTTTAACAAAACTAACAATTGCACAATCAATCTGTTCAAAACCCATGTTTTTTTTTCAGTCATGACTTACTCAGCCAGTGAGTCTGGCTGAACAGGACGGCTTGTTTAGCGAGGCCCTGCTGTCAGGCAGCCTTGCTAATCAATCAGCGGAGCGATGGAGCGGCCAGGCATGTCGGAAAACAACACACCCCACAGAGAACAGGCCTGCTCCATGAACCAAGCTGACTGATTGACACAACCGGAGATCAGCCTGCTTCTGAGTGTGTGTGTGTGTGCCCGGTTATGTTTCTCCCCATGGCTAAATGGCATGTGCATAAAGAAATATACTCTCTTACACATATACATGTTTAATATCTTTTCATAGGCACTGTGAAGCTCACCTCCATAACAAAGCGTTTGTCGTGACTGCCTCCACTTTCAGAGATGAGTTCGTATTTGAGGCCTCGTCTCTTTTCGTTTAGCTCCATGACGGGGTTCTTCCCACTCGCCGTCAGTATCGGACCCTGAGTTCGCACCTGGGGAGATAATTAAAGTCTTATCATTTAAAAGTATAGTGTATTAGAAAGCAAACAGTGGAGACTGAGCATGATCATGACAACACAAGTGTTTATTTGTAATAGTTAGAAATGAACATTCCGAGACATGAAAAAGCATTTGAGTGTGTGCAATTTTGTATCAACCCTTGTTTCTCAATCCTCACCTCCAGTGCGTTGGAATTGTCCGAGGTGTGTGTTGGGTTATTGCTCGTGTGTGATGACGTCTCGCTCTTCCCCTCCCCGACCGACTTCTCGTCTGAACTCATGGGGTCCAGGTCTGAGTCGAACCCTGTTGGGTAGCCCATCGCCTGGAGAACCTAGAGAGGGAGCAGCATGATCAAATAAAAAAGTAGGCGAGGAGATTTTTTAACAACTTGTGTTTTACCGCTATTCAATATATATATATATATATCAATATATTTTAGTTTGTTGTTTTTGTACATTTTGAAATCAACATTGTCTCACTACTGTACTTATACACAATCAAGATAGTGTTATCAGTGGGCTTAGAGTGTGTGTAAAATAGTTTAGCACACTTAATGGAATGAGAACATAATTCCACAGAGACATTAATGTCCCTTTGTGGGTGACTATGTTTTGAACAGACTTTATTGGCATAATTATCCATGAAGGTAGAGAGCTGCTAACAAGGGCAATAAGAATGAAAGTGCATGGACACATCTTTAAATGTGTTAATGACTACATTCTAACAAGCGAGCAACTGCAGTACTGACACGGCATAGTTTAATTTAAGTCACACAATGCTTAAATTAAAGCCATTACAATAGACTGGCAACACAGACTAAAGTCGTATGAGTCTACTGGAAGTCTATTCAGCAGACAGAGCAGCCAAACAATATGAGCGTAGAAGAGGATAGAAGAATGACACCTTCTTTGACTCAAATGGGTGATTGTGTTATAGCTGCTGAACCAGCCAATGCAGAGGGGGGAGAGAAAGTGAGGGAGAGAGGGGGAGATCAAAAGGTGAACACACTAGAGAAAGAACGTGAGTGAGTGAGAAGGAGAATGGAAAAGGGGGAGAAAGAGCCTTTTATGGGAATGGAGCGGAGAGAGGATTATCCTGGCTCTGTGCTCTGGAGAGCCTCTTTGTTCACAACCACTTTGGGATTACATGGATTTGCCCCACCTCCACACACACACACACACACACACACACACACACACACACACACACACACACACACACACACACACACACACACACACACACACACACACACACACACACACACACACACACACACACACACACACACACACACACACACACACCAGGGTTTCCGTTAGCCGGTAATTACCGGTTTTTAGCTGGTAAAATGTATTAAAAACCAGTAAATTCAAAACCTGCCGGTCAAAATGTCTGGTAATAATTAGGGATGCTCCGATAGATCGGCCGCCGGTCCTTATCGGCCGATATTCACTGTTAATAGTTTGATCGGTGCTCTCTATAAAGGCCGATCAGGAGAGCTGGATCTGATCGATATGGACATAAACGCGAGTGAAGTATAACCAGACGCGAGAGAGAGATCAGATCAGCTGCTGAGTCTGATGGAGACACGCAGCTCTGCATAATCACCTGAAGCCCCGCCCTCTGTTTAGCTGCATGAGAAACTGACGGGCTGTCAGAGAGAGAGGGAGGGAGAGGGGAAAAGAGAGCATCCGTTTCTCCCGTGTTATTATTCAAAGTTAATGTACACTTTTGAATAATGTACTTCATCTACTACAAGTAGTTTGTTTGAATGTAATAATTATGTTGTTTGTTGAATCATTTATTGAAAAATGAATCTGAATTTTTTCGATCTGTTACGATTATAGACTGAAGCAATATAAAAATGAGCCTGTGAACTGAGTTTTAAACTGAAGCATATCTGCTCATAGTCCGGTAATGACCTGCTAACGGAAACTCTGCTACACAACTCTTATTATTATTATTGAAATATGACCGGTAAGTTTCAAATGTATCCGGTAAAATAAATTCTGCCCGGACATTTGACCGGCGAGAACAAATCCTAGCGGAAACCCTGACACACACACACACACACACACACACACACACACACACACACACACACACACACACACACACACACACACACACACACACACACACACACACACACAAACACACACACACACACACACACACACACACACACACACACACACACACACACACACACACACACACACACACACACACACACAGACAGAAACATGTTTATAGATGTACAGGTTTGGCTGCAAGAGTTTTGTCATTTAGCTTTTTTCCATTAAAGGTCTCCTATTGTACTGTTTTTCATCAATATATAACAGGTCTCAGATATATATACAAAACATGTCTCTGAAGTGTTTGGCTCCAAATACCAAACAGATCATTGTAGCATCCCATAATCCTCTCTGTTTCAGCCCTGTTTTAAAAGTGCTGATTCTATAATAACAAATTTTAAAAAGGTAGAAATAAACAATTCTCAAATATAAACATCTCAAAATACAAATAGAAATAAACTAGAGAGTAAGATATATAATATATATTTTGATGTAGCCCTGGTTTCTATAGTATTTTAAACATGCAAAGTAATAAGCCAAACAGTGTAGGGTTACTCCACACAGTGTACAACTTATGTGTTTTCCCAACAAGAAATATTCTCACTTTCAAACAGAAACATAGCCCCCCCCTTCCTTCTATCGCCTCTCTTCTTTTAGTCACACTTTTTTTTAAACTGTTGCCTTTTCAACTCTCATTTTTTATTTATTTGTCTGCCTCTTTCTTTATCTTACTCAGCCCTTTATCACTGGATGTCTTTGTCTTTTTATTCATTCGTTCTGCTTTCTCTTCCTGTGTGTCATTCCTTCTCTCTTTCTTGCCCCTTAGCCGCAGTGTCCTTGAGAAAGCAGTGACTTTGCCAGTGAGCGCATCTCTCTCTCTCTCTCTCTCTCTCTCTCTCTCTCTCTCTCTCTCTCTCTCTCTCTCTCTCTCTCTCTCTCTCTCTCTCTCTCTACTCTCTCTCTCTCTCTCTTTCCCAGCAACCTAACAGAAGTGTAGTACCGCCGTTTGGCCACATCTAATATTTTCCTCTGAGTCCGGCGCACTTCACTTAAAATGCCCAATCACGTTGAGTTATTTCAAATGTATCATTTTTCATCTGTCCATCAAATATCCTAACTGCCATTTCACCTCTGGCTGCTGTGGAGACTGGATGTGTCAGCGGAGGAGAGTCTAACACTAAGTTAATACAGGTAAGTTATACACAAACAACACATTTTTAACAAAGTGAGCAGATATACTGTCATAATGTGAGCAAGCTAGGGGTCTAAATAAATATGTTTTAACTTAAATAAATATTTGTTGCCAATGTTGAACAGCTAAATATTGTTTGAATTTAGCTGCCTGGATGACAATTATTTTCCTTCAGGCCGTTCTTCTTCTTTTTTATTATATTTATTTTAACTTAATGTAGCTTACACTCTTTTCTGTGACCGTCATTCTTCAATCGGCATTATATTGATAGCATTAGCAGGCTAATCTAAATGTAATCTAGCTACTTTGGCTAGGTTTCATTGTTCGGCCAGACGTGGCGGGAAATTAAGTGCGAGTGAGAAGACTGACAGGCTGCGTTAATATACAGTCTCTTACAGTGCAAATAAGTAACTCAGCACGAAGGTTATTTATTAGTAGTAAGTGTACACTACAGTTGACCTGTTTCTGACTAAAAACACCAGCCACTACTCTATACTTGCAAATATTATATTGTGTAGAAGGGAGATTTCATATCTGCCTCTTGTCGCTACGGCAGTTGTGTATGTGAGACGCAGCGTCACTCACGCACTGCACGTCAGGCCTTCCCTTCCGATGATTTGATTGGTCGGAAGGGAAGGGCCAGCGAGCTTTCCTTCCAACCATTCAAATCGTTGGAAGGGAATGACTCTGAAAAGTCTTAAGAGCTGTGTTGATCATCAGATTTAGCATGCAAAACTAGAAGTGTTCCCCCCCCCCCCGTGGTTCTATTAAGCATATGAGCAGGGGTTACATTGACCATAGGACGATGCTCTGACGTCATCACCCTCGCAAAGTTAAAAAAAACTATATGTTAAAACTTTACTTTACAGATCTCTGTGACCGGATACAGTTTTTCAGCTTAGTGAAAGTGTGTCTGCTCCGATCAGGGGCAGGTGATGATTCAATCGTTTACAGTAAAATGTACAGCATATTGGCCATAATCTCGCAGCCCTACAAATGTACTGAGATTTCCACACAAATGTTCTTTAGCAAGTGTGCAGAGCAATTTTGATTTAAAATATAAATGTGAAGGTTGGATATTTGTAAACATTTTTGTGTATACATAAATAATTCAAGATGTAAATGAATTCCAATTTATCTATAGTACTTTCTATTTTTATTTTGTCATTTGGTGGTATCAATGTGTGCATTTGATACAGATAACGGAGCAGTTGCTTTGGGCCTCATATACATACAGCATAGCCCTTAAGGTCAAATCATGAGATCCCAAACCTCCACACAGAGCCCCCCCACATATCAAATCCCAATGTAACCCCTGCATATGAGTCAATATCAGCTTAAGATATGAAAATAAACTCCTCAGCCTCTGTATTAAATGGGGTGTAATTAGTTTAAGAATTTAATTAAATATAGAGTTTCTGTCAATAATGAATGTACATTTTAACAACTTATTAGTTTTGTATTTCACATGATGATTTGGAACCTCTTGTTTTGGAGACTCTTTTTCTGAAACATTGAATGCTTTTTTTTTCTTGTTACAGGTTTATGCAGATATTAAAAGCTGATTGCCACAGCGGGCCTCCGTGAAGCAGGTAGAATAGCTGAGTGTTCCAGCAGTGGGCTACAATGGAACATGTTACGTCAAACTTTGATTGCCGCTCATGTGGTATCACTCTGAAAACTGTTAAGAGCTATGTAGATCATCAGATTTTGCATAGACATGAAGCAAACACGTACTACCCATGTTGCTTCATAGACTGCAAACAAAAATTCATGAAGTACACTGCCTTAAAATCTCATGTATATCGTTCTCATAACAGACGTGTTTCACAGGTAGATGATTCACATAGATCATTTGTATGTGAGGATGTTAATTGTAAGAAGCAATGCACAGATTTACAAGATCTTCTTGCACACCTTAACCCTCCGGTATCATTCGATTGGACTACGCAAATTAGTCATTCGAGACAAAAATGTCCACTGCAAAAGACTTTGATAAAAACATTATATAAAAAGGTTTTTTTCGCAACTTTTTTGGTTTCAATCTTTAAAGCAACTTCCGCCCTAATAGAAAATACCAAAAATGTAATCATTCTCAGGATTTTAACCCTTTAAATGCCATTTTGAAAACATGAAACTGCTGTTTTTTTTCATGATGAAAACAGAGAAAATGAGTTATTTTCCCAAAAATACATATCTGGGGACTGGCTCTTTTTTTTTTATAACAGTCTTGGATATGTCAAAGATGAGCAACAACATTTATTTTTTTGCATTATTAGTTTTTGCACAAAATCAGATTGAACAAAAAAGTTACATATTAGTCATTCGGGACAAAAATGTCCACTTCCAAAAACTGTTCTAAAATGACAACAGATTAATATTTAAAAAAACTTTTTGGGGTTAAATCTTTCAATCAACTTCAGTCCTGATCAAAAATACCAATTGTTAAATTATGTTCAGGATTTTAACCCTTGAATTGCCAGTTTGAAAACATGAATTTGCGTTTTCTATGAAAAACATGCACAAAAAGGCAGTTATTTTCCATATAATAAATGTTGGGGGGGTCGGCTTTTTTTTTTTTTTTATCAAAGTCTTGGGTATGTCAAAGATTAGCAACAACATTTATTTTTTTGCATTATTAGTTAGACATGTAACAACCAGGACAAGGGTTAATATGAGTAAATACCTACTGTATACAATACATTCAAATAGACACAAAACAACTGCTGAAAGAAACAAAAAAAACGTAAACATCAATAAATAGACATAGAATAACACATAAGCTAAAAAACACAGTAGTTAAACAGTGTTACTTTATACGGAATGTTTGGAATTCTGGAGAAAGAGTTCTGCTCCGGAATGTTCACAACATATGACCATGGAACTCTGCTGGATCTCCATTCCAACCGAGGACTCTCACCTGGTCATTACACACAAACCTGCTGGAGAGAAAGCATTAGTACACCTACATAGAGAACAAATTCAAACTATGAACACTAAAATGTCTTCTAGACATCACCTGATTGCTCAGATGGAGCTTGTACAAAGCCTGTCCAAACTCACCCCGGAGGAGAGGAAGGTAGAGGTCAGAAGACAAATGTATGTGGAGCTGAAGGAAGTGGAGATGGAGCGCAGACAAAATGCTGCTCTGGAGACCCTGGCAAATAGCGAGAGGGACAGAGAAGAGACTCCAAGAGTTCCAAAAAGTCTCAAGAGTGCCAACATGGAGAAGGACAGGAAGAGGCAGAAGGCCCCTGAGACAAGAAGGCAAAACCAGTTGAAGCAAGAGAGGCTTCAGTGGCAACAGGTGATACTGGAGGGAGTCAAAACCCCCACCCACCATTTCATTGCTCTGAATGAAGAGCAAGAGAAGAGGCGAGAGGAGGCTGACAGCCTGACCCCCCACCTGAAGTCACCTGAGACCAGAAATACAACTCTGTACAACAACTGGGTTGCAAAGGAAGAAATGGACAGTGAGCCTGTCGTTGATAACTCCACCTATCTCCTTTATGCTGAGAAACTAAAGCCAACGATTGATGGTATGTCTCATCAAGGTTTAGAGGGTTACTTTAGAAATTGTATCTGTAACAATAACTACTTACATGTCAAATCATTTCAAAATGTATTGTAACACTGTAATCCTGCTAGTAATCTCTATTTATATTTAAATGTAACAGCAATCTGATTACAATTCTTTAAATGTAATTTTAATCGAACACAGTTACCTTTTTGTTTGTATCTTGATAAGGTAATCTCGTTACATGTAATCCATTACTCCTCAAGCTTGTGTGTCATATTCCCCTAGAGTTGCCTTGTTTGTAATTTGTTATTAACATGTAGGTCAACTTTTATCTTCTTTCATCTGAAGGAAAAGCAGATGAGGTCAAAGAGAGCCTGCAGTCCATGCAGAAGGACATACTCTCAGTTGGACACTGGGTTGGAAAGTACCGGCAGAACCATGAGAAGAAGCGGGAGAAACGCCGGCTAAATACACAGGCTCAATACGAGCAATACGTCGCCTCCAAGAGCCATGGCCCCCAGAACACCGTGCTGAACGACCTGTTGGACTGGTCCGTCTGCTAAAAACAACAGCTTTAAATCCAGATTCAGACCAATTTCATTTTAGTGTTATTGTTATTGACCTTGTTTCTTTGTTTTCTTTATTGTTTTCTCTTTAGTAAACAAGTGTTGGGAAAGAAGAATGTCTTCAAGAACTGCATTGGAAAGGAAGAAAAGGACAGTAGTCCTGTCATTGATTCCTCCAACTATCTCCTCTATGCTGAGAAACTAAAGCCAAAGTCTGATGGTATGTCTCATCAGGGTTGGGAGGGATACTTTTGTAATCTGTTACAATAACTATTTACACTTAAGCAAATCTAATCAGTTTGATTTTGAGTATCAAAATATAAAAGGAATATAACCTGATTGCTTTCCGTTAGTTTTGGATTACGTCAAAACGAAGTGCAATGCAAATGAAAACAAGAGAAAGTCAATTAAAATAAGATGATTTGTACTTAAGTGTATGTAGCAATGTAACCTTAGAAAGAGAAACGAAATATTTCATATAAAACATTTAGTAACACTAATAGCTTACAAATGCTGTTTAAAAAACCTTAATACATGAATAATCAAAAGCATCGACTGTATTTTGTTTCATAAATCAGGAGCCGACCTACTGCATTAAAAAATATATGTATTTAAAATAAAGAAGAATTAAAGTAGTCTATATACCATGAAGAAAATGTATTCAGAACGGCTATAATATATAAATCTTTATTTCAAAGTGTAATGTCACACTGTAATCTTGCTAGTTTATTTTATTTTTTTAAATGTAACAGTTATATGAAAACGTATTTTTCAAATACAGTTACCTTCTTTTTTTTATTTTTGTAATTTCGCTACATGTATTACTCCTCAAGCCTGTGTGTCATATTCCTCTACAGTGGCCTTGTTTTAAATGTTTAATTCACAGGCAACTAAACATGTATCTTCTCTTGTCTGAAGGAAAAGCAGATGAGGTCAAAGAGAGCCTGCAGTCCATGCAGAAGGACATACTCTCAGTTGGACACTGGGTTGGAAAGTACCAGCAGAACCATGAGAAGAAGCGGGAGAAACGCCGGCTAAATACACAGGCTCAATACGAGCAATATGTCGCCTCCAAGAGCCATGGCCCCCAGAACACCGTGCTGAACGACCTGTTGGACTGGTCCGTCTGCTAAAAACAACAGCTTTAAATCCAGATTCAGACCAATTTAATTTTAGTGTTATTGTTATTGACCTTGTTTCTTTGTTTTCTTTATTGTTTTCTCTTTAGTAAACAAGTGTTGGGAAAGAAGAATGTCTTCAAGAACTGCATTGGAAAGGAAGAAAAGGACAGTAGTCCTGTCATTGATTCCTCCAACTATCTCCTCTATGCTGAGAAACTAAAGCCAAAGTCTGATGGTATGTCTCATCAGGGTTGGGAGGGATACTTTTGTAATCTGTTACAATAACTAGTTACACTTAAGCAAATCTAATCAGTTTGATTTTGAGTATCAAAATATAAAAGGAATATAACCTGATTGCTTTCCGTTAGTTTTGGATTACGTCAAAACGAAGTGCAATGCAAATGAAAACAAGAGAAAGTAAATTAAAATAAGATGATTTGTACTTAAGTGTATGTAGCAATGTAACCTTAGAAAGAGAAACAAAATATTTCATATAAAACATTTAGTAACACTAATAGCTTACAAATGCTGTTTAATGCAGTAGGTCGGCTCCTGATTGATGAAACAAAATACAGTCGATGCTTTTGATTATTCATGTATTAAGGTTTTTTAACACTAGAACCGCCAACGGGTACATTTTACCCGCAGCTGTTTTTTGATTGTATGTAGGCCTAACTTTTTTTCAATAACATATTAAAGTCTCCCAGTCCGTGACTTTTCCTGAAAGTGTGTTATGTAGCACCCTCTGTTGTTAACAATTGTCAATATGAAGTCAGATTGAAAAATCCGCCAAAACAAATGCCATTTATACCTATATCCGCCAGCGGGTAATATTTACCTCATAGCGTAAACATGACGTGTTGCTATAGCAACGCCTTTTGTCTAATGCGGTTCCTTATAGATAGAGAGATAGATTGAGAGATAGATATATGGATAGAGAGAGATAGACAGATAGATAGTTCTCATTCATAACACTCCGTTCGATGTCTCACTATGGGATGCGCCTCATCGCGGAGCAAACAGAAGCATCAATCTCATTACGCCAATCCTGATTGGCTGGAGATCTTGACGTCAGCGTCAGGGAAATCACCCCCTATAAGTAGCTTGCGCCACAACGCATGCGCCATTCAAACACCTCTTCTCGCTTCAGAGCACATCTCTATAGTAGCCGGACAAGCTTAACGGTCCACAGACTGAACCCAAATATAACCATTTCGGTCGACGGGCGCTCGCCGGCTACTCGCCGGCTACTCCTTCTGCTTCGCAAGAAGACGGTAATACTAACGCCAGTTAGTATTAAAATCGACCTCGCCGTTCTTTCCCCGGAAAATAAGGTAAGGTTTTGATTTTTCTCAAGCTAAGCTACGCACCTGTTGCTAGCTAGCTTCCCCTTACTACCGACACCACGGTAGCGAGGACGCTTTTCTTTTTCTCTCTCACGGAGGAGAAAAGGATTAGAAGTATATTGACACACCAGTCAATATTCTTTGAGAACAAAGGACCCACACCGTCCCTTTTTCTCCGGATTAAGGACGGGTTGGTAACACTTTTTCTCTCAACGACGTACCTGTTACGAGCGGGTCCTCTCCACGCCACGAGGCGAACAAGATGGACGCCTCTCCCCCTCACACCAGAGGAGTCAGGGACTCGGAGGCTCGGTCATGCGGCTGGGTGATTCTCACGAACTTGGTGTAACATGAGCCAAAACAGTTCGATGCAGATTTTGAAAATAATTGTTCTCATTAGTATCAACCAGGTTCTAAATGAACTAGCCCTAGTAAAAGAAAAGTTCTGTATATGTTTTAAAACATATTTTTAGAGAGTTTTAATGAGTCATTGAACAAATAAATTCATTACCGTAACACATTTTCAATTGATGATAACTAAATATTTGAGTAAATGTTTGGCATTTTATTTTTTAACGTATGCTGCTGTCAATAGTCACAAGTAGTCACATAGTGTAATAATTCAGGTAAATATATAATAATTTTAGTTATTAACTTCATTACCGTAACACAATTTTATGTTCCACACATTGACTTTTACTGTGGTGTAAATTGTACAATTGATTGAAAAAAGACAATTTTAAAATATGAACAGACATACCAAACATTTCCTGTACAAAATGAAAATTTGAAGGTTTTCCATATTCCTATCAAAATATTAACTTATTAAGGAAGTGTTATGGTAATGAACAGAGCATGTCGGTAATGAAAAGCTTTTGTTATGGTAATGACCTTACATGGAGAAGAGATATACTATTGCTTTATAAATACTTTCGCTTTACGTATATATTCACACACACACAATTTTGAATTGCACCGTTACTTTTATATACTGTCTCTTTACACACACAATAGTAACGTAACGTTTGTTACATGATACATAATGTACCTGTATAAAATCACCGCTGCCGGCAGGGACATCGCTCCTTGCATGGTCTCTGCATATCCGACATCCTAGCTTCTTATCTTTAAGAAGGAGCCATGCATTTACTTGCAAAAATATTGCACCTGGTCCGTTGTCCAGCAGTCAGGTGCATCGCTTTGCCCGGTGTTGGTGGTGGCAGTTGCGCCAGCAGCAGCTAACGTTAGAGGCTCTGGAGGAGGCGGCGGAGCTAGTGCTAATGCTAATGCACTAGAACTTGGAGCAGGAGGATCAACCAAAGAAAGCTCCCCATCAGACACAATTTCCAACACAGGCACAGCATTCTCTGTATTTGAAGTTTCTTCTGGCGACAACCGCTGTCTTTTTGCACTTTTATTAATCCACGCTAACATTTTAGAAATGCTAATTTGTGACGTGACTTGCTTTCCTTCTCTCGGGGGCGTGCCTGCTCTGTTCTATCACTCTACATAGCCACCCACTGGGTGGGAGTTGCACTGCATAAACACAACACACGTGCATCTAGGTATGTAAATTGTAAAGCATTAAAACATGGTTTTACTAACAGTTTTCAGTATGTTGTTACTTCGGCATTATTATTATTATTATTATTATTATTTTGAAACGTGTATTACTATTAAATCACGGTCAAATAGGTTAATTTTGACAGTCGTTTCCACCACAGTATTTACATGGAGAAGATAAGCCCCGCCCCCCTCTCCAGCACGTTCTGTTTGAATGACAGGAGTAAACAGCTGACAGCCGCTGTGAAACTCCAGCGGTTAGAGCGATGAGAATGTCCGTTCGGCACCTCATGACGCATCTACTGAGTACCGGGCGGCTGTATATATATATATGGATGTATAATAAGAACGGCGGGAGAGTGTTGAGTACTGGCACGGTGCATGAGTACCGGAGTACCGCCAGCATGCCGGTACTGAGCAAGAAGTGCCGGTACTCCATGGGTCAGAACCAGAAGTGCCGGTACTGCGTACCGGTGAGTACCGGCCCAATTCCAGCACTGTCTACAGTGGCCTTGTTTTAAATGTTTAATTCACAGGCAACTAAACGTGTATCTTCTCTTGTCTGAAGGAAAAGCAGATGAGGTCAAAGAGAGCCTGCAGTCCATGCAGAAGGACATACTCTCAGTTGGACACTGGGTTGGAAAGTACCAGCAGAACCATGAGAAGAAGCGGGAGAAACGCCGGCTAAATACACAGGCTCAATACGAGCAATATGTCGCCTCCAAGAGCCATGGCCCCCAGAACACCGTGCTGAACGACCTGTTGGACTGGTCCGTCTGCTAAAAACAACAGCTTTAAATCCAGATTCAGACCAATTTCATTTTAGTGTTATTGTTATTGATATTGTTTCTTTGTTTTCTTTATTGTTTTCTCTTTAGTAAACAAGTGTTGGGAAAGAAGAATGTCTTCAAGAACTACATTGGAAAGGAAGAAAAGGAAAGTAGTCCTGTCATTGATTCCTCCAACTATCTCCTCTATGCTGAGAAACTAAAGCCAAAGTCTGATGGTATGTCTCATCAGGGTTGGGAGGGATACTTTTGTAATCTGTTACAATAACTATTTACACTTAAGCAAATCTAATCAGTTTGATTTTGAGTATCAAAATATAAAAGGAATATAACCTGATTGCTTTCCGTTAGTTTTGGATTACGTCAAAACGAAGTGCAATGCAAATGAAAACAAGAGAAAGTCAATTAAAATAAGATGATTTGTACTTAAGTGTATGTAGCAATGTAACCTTAGAAAGAGAAACGAAATATTTCATATAAAACATTTAGTAACACTAATAGCTTACAAATGCTGTTTAACACTAGAACTGCCAACGGGTACATTTTAACCGCAGCTGTTTTTTGATTGTATGTAGGCCTAACTTTTTTTCAATAACATATTAAAGTCTCCCAGTCCGTGACTTTTCCTGAAAGTGTGTTATGTAGCACCCTCTGTTGTTAACAATTGTCAATATGAAGTCAGATTGAAAAAGCCGCCAAAACAAATGCCATTTATACCTATATCCGCCAGCGGGTAATATTTACCTCATAGCGTAAACATGACGTGTTGCTATAGCAACGCCTTTTGTCTACTGCGGTTCCTTATAGATAGAGAGATAGATTGAGAGAGATAGATAGAGAGAGATAGACAGATAGAGATAGACAGATAGATAGTTATAGATAGTGTAACATCTTGGAGAATACAAGATCTTGGATGACTGAGCTCACGTTGAGGACGTAATGCATGTGTGCAGGTTACGTGCCAGTTGAATAAAGATGGACACTCGGAATGAGAGAAGTAGTCGCGTCGTCTGTTTATGTAGACAATTATATGTCCATAGAACAGAACATTAGAGATAGATCGGTAGATAGTTATAAATAGATAGAGAGAGAGATAGAGAGATTTGTACCTAAACAAAACACAAATCTAACACCAAGCGTTTAAATCAGCACTCTTAGCGATATTTTATACTTCATGCTATCTGCACAAACTATATCATTTGAAAAGCTGAGAGTCCACAGATTATATTGGTATAAATTTCATCCCTGTGCGATCAAAACTCACTGTTCTGTATGATAAATAAAAGAACATTGTACCTTGAAAATCAATAGCGGGTACATTTTACCCGTTGGCGGTTTTAGGTATACAGCGACCTCTGGCGGTTCTAGTGTTAAAAAACCTTAATACATGAATAATCAAAAGCATCGACTGTATTTTGTTTCATAAATCAGGAGCCGACCTACTGCATTAAAAAATATATGTATTTAAAATAAAGAAGAATTAAAGTAGTCTATATACCATGAAGAAAATGTATTCAGAACGGCTATAATATATAAATATTTATTTCAAAGTGTAATGTCACACTGTAATCTTGCTAGTTTATTTTATTTTATTTTTAAATGTAATAGTTATCTGAAAACGTATTTTTCAAATACAGTTACCTTCTTTTTTTTCTTTTTGTAATTTCGCTACATGTATTACTCCTCAAGCCTGTGTGTCATATTCCTCTACAGTGGCCTTGTTTTAAATGTTTAATTCACAGGCAACTAAACGTGTATCTTCTCTTGTCTGAAGGAAAAGCAGATGAGGTCAAAGAGAGCCTGCAGTCCATGCAGAAGGACATACTCTCAGTTGGACACTGGGTTGGAAAGTACCAGCAGAACCATGAGAAGAAGCGGGAGAAACGCCGGCTAAATACACAGGCTCAATACGAGCAATATGTCGCCTCCAAGAGCCATGGCCCCCAGAACACCGTGCTGAACGATCTGTTGGACTGGTCCGTCTGCTAAAAACAACAGCTTTAAATCCAGATTCAGACCAATTTCATTTTAGTGTTATTGTTATTGAAGAAGCTGGAGAATTGTTGTTTCTTAAGTAAAAATGTGTTCATTTTAAAACATCAAGTTGATCTGTCTATTCTCTTACAAACATGTTGGTTAAGATGTGTTGACTTTTCTACAACACACACAAGTTACCACATATTATCATATTGGAATTATGCATTTGAAACATGTTGTCTATTGTTTTAGCAAGCCAAGGCACCTAGGCTATAGTGCACGTGCACACACACACACACACACACACACATAATGGTTGTATTATTGAGTACATTTAGTTTCAGTAGTTAAACAGAAGAAATGATGGCCATACACAACTTGACTGCAGAGGAATAACAGACCACATGAGTAAGCCATTTGTCAGTTTAGGCTAAAACACAAACATTTGAAGTGAAAACAAAAGTATACTATTTCGTTTTTTTTGAAAATGCCCGTCAAGCTATTTGGGTTAACAGCTGAGTTTTTTTGTTATTGTTTTATAGTAGACCCATTAGCCCACACACAACACACACTGCCGTGTAGCATACCTCTGGCGTTGTTCTCCACTGCGAATTTAAGGCTTTTTTTTTTTTTTTTAAATGAAGAGAATAACTGAAGAGAGGACAAGACATGTCTAGCCTTATCATAATACACTTGTTTATCTACCAAACCACCTGCCATGAAGCTATGTGGCGCATCCCCCTGGGTTTACAAATTACTGAAAATTGAAAAGGTTTTGACAGTATCTTCATAGCATAGTGAGGATTGGTCTTCTACCCTAAGGTTATGGGTTCACTCCCCACCTGGAATCTTTTTTGTTTTTTTCTTCATTAAGTTGTCTTTTATTGTGTCTTGAAAGAAAGTGTTTTTCATGAAGACCCTTGGCTGTCAGAGCACCAAATCAGTCTCGATTGGAACAAAGTTGTTAGGGAGAAATAGTAAAAGCATTTGATAAGCTTTTTAACTTCTGTATGCCTAAAAGTGCTTTGTGTTCAAGGTTGGAGGTGACCTTGTTTAATCAAACAGAAAAGCAGTTGAATATTTAAAGAAAGGTTTTCAACAGTGACTTTGAAGTCTGTTTGATAAGTATAATCTAAATCCACCCAGTCCCTGTGTCTGTTAAGTACAATTGTATGATCATAAATTGAGAGCTGTAATTAAGTCCAGCAAAATGAGAATATGAAGCTTAGAGTCTGCACTCAATAGGATTTTTTGTATTGTTAATTTGTGCTGTTTCCATACGGTAGTCCAGCACAACACCACCTTCACCTAAAGTAATATTTACAATATTCCAACAATGTCCCCAAAAACAAATCTCTATGATTTTGTTTGTAATAATATATATATTTATAGTGAATAACAATATAATTTAAATGTATATATATATATATATATATATATAAATAACAGTGAAAACAAACAAATTCAATCCAGGTATGATTAAGCATTTCAAAATAATGTCATGCATTTTGTTTTCTTTAGTTTTGGATACAATAGAATGACATACAGAGAGTGTGATGTGTCAAGTCAGGCTTCTCACAATGTGCTGCTTTAATTTTCACCCTGATGACAAACAAGGGTTCAATAATTCAGCCCCCCCCCCATACCGTGTGTGTAACAAATAGAGGCCGAGTCAATACAAATTGCCAAAACCTGATGACAACACAATTTGAAATACTTTCATCTTGACCTTTTCCTCGTCCATTGTCATTTCATTTTACGGTTATCATTTTTGACATCATTTGTCTTTTGGACAGTAATAATAGGGACAGGTGGACTACTTGAAAAGCAAAAGCCATGAAAAAAGGGTTGTTTAGAACAGAAATAGACATTTCCGTGGTGCTTTGTTTCAGTTCTTTATTTGTCAAACACACAGTATTTGGTTTCTGTATTAATGCTAAATTAAACTAGTTATGGATATAATGTAAAACATGTACTATCGACCCAAATAGTAAATGCAATACCTGCAGAGTAAAAAGATTTGGATACAAATTTAGAAGTTATTCTTAATTAATTTCAGCATGACACAGGTTATGTATTGCACAGGTACAGCAGATATCATCCTGCAATAACTTCATTTATATTCAAGGACAACATTGCAGAGTGATTCATTGCAGCGCTGTGCAGGTGATACATGGAGCACTTTTTTCAAATCTATTTTGAGTTACAGCATTTTTGACTGGATAGTAATAAAAAAGACATAATGGCAAAGCTCTCGACTTTAAACTGAATTATGCCAGGGATATAACATTAGCCCCGCTTCACCTAAAGCTAATGCTGAAATTATTGGAAACATAATGGAAGCAAGAAGGTAAAAATCATAAAACAACATGTTTTTAAGTTTCTAGGCTGCATGATAGGCCTTGTGTTTATGCTTTTTTAATTAGATAAAAGCTTGTATCTGTTCTATTTATTACAATGTGATCATAAAATAATATTAAAATCAAGGATAAGATTTAGCTTTCATGTTTTAGATATAAACCTATCAGTTCTGGCAGCTTACACCAAAATCACATGCCTCAATAACTGAATAACCAAGAAGTAAGAATAACCTTCATGACTATAATCTATTAAATTACATTTTATATTGTCCAGTAAGCTTTTATATTATGATATACAAGAGGCTGTGGAAACAATTACATCAGATTTGGTGATCAATTACAGTACCTCAATATTTATACTTTGGTTTGTCATTTTGGTAATCTAAGAAACAGGTGGAAGGAACTTCAGTGAGGCTCATAGCATTTTTATACTATTGTTTAAATACGTGTCAGTTTGGTGTGTGTGCCTCTCACAGGGCGATGAGTATCAAAATGCCCCCGGGTACAAGTGACTGATATTTGTCATTGAATGAGGAGCCAGAGAGCTGAATTATTGAAGTCTTGTTTTTCATCAACCTGAAATTAAAGTAACACACACACACACACACACACGCACACACACGCACACACACACACACACACACACACACACACACACACACACACACACACACACACACACACACACACACACACACACACACACACAAACAATCACAGTCATTCACTCTAGCAAATTACTTCTGAAAACCTGCGTGAGGCACAAAGTCCAAAATGAAAGTCCAACCTATTACCTCAGGGTGTGTGCGTGTGTTCACTTGATTGTGTGTTTGTGTTTATTACACTGCATCATATTTCTCAATTTACTCTACCTGATATAAAATCGACAGAGTTAACTGGACCTTATTCCCTAAAATGACCTTGTCCTGGTCGGCCCTGAGGAAGATAAAATATTGCATCACCAAAAATAGACATTTTAAGGACAAAGCAAATGACCGGAATGTGTATTTATGATAGGATCAAACATACCATTAGGCTGGTAAAGAAGCAACCATTAATTTACAAGTCATTATGGCTCCTAACTGGATTTATGCAAGCCAATTTATCAGACATTATCTGCATTAAACATGCATGTATCTGCTGTAATCTGTGGTGAAGTGTGGCTTATTCAAGGACCTTCGATGCCACCGAGAGGCCGATTAAGAGACGACAAAGATCTTAACTGTTAGTGTATGAACTGACTACATTGAAGCTTACATGTTCTGTCTTCATTGAGGGACGCCTATGACGGGCTGAAAAAGCTTTTTTTATTTGCATGTGTGCATTCAAAAAGATTATAACTTAGTTTTGTTGACACAATAAAACCAGAAACTATAGGTTACTTACGTAACCCCAGTTCTCAGAGTAACATGAAGTGAGATGTCTCACTATGGGGATGCGCCTCATCGCGGAGCAAACAGAAGCATCAATCTCATTACGCCAATCCTGATTGGCTGGTGATCTTGACGTCAGCGTCAGGGAATTCACCCCCTATAAGTAGCTTGCGCCACGACGCATGCGTCATTCAAAATAAGCACCTCTTCTCGCTTCACCATAGCAAGGAGGGCCGTCTGGTGAGACATCTCACTTCATGTTACTCTGAGAACTGGGGTTACGTAAGTAACCTATAGTTCTCATTCATAACACTCCGTTCGATGTCTCACTATGGGAAATTGTAGCTCCCGTATTGTCAGACGAGCTTATCTCGAAAATCACCAAACCAACCAGAACTTAACAGGTGCCCAGCACTGCTTGAGTCACACTGGGAGCAGAACGTCCAGTCTGTTAAGAGGCGGACAAAAGTGAGCGGCGAGGACCAGCTCGCCGCTGCACCAATGTCTTGGATGGGAGACATCCTGGACAGAGCCCAGGATGCAGCCAGACCCTGAGTCGAAAGAGCTCGCAGACCCGAGGGTGCCTGCGAACTCTGACTCGTATGAGCCCCAAAGCAATTGCTTCCACAAACCAGTGGGAGAGCCGTTGCTTAGTAACAGGCTTGCCCTTATAAGGGTTAGCCCAGGACACAAGGGGTTGGTCATTATGACGAAGCACCCTTGATCTGTCCCTGTACGTGCGTAAAGCACGGGCTGGACACGGCAAATCCGGCCGCTGTTCCCCGGAGGAATACAGTGGCGGGGAGGATGCCTCAATGTCAAATGTGGTACCTGAACCAACCGCCTTAAGATAAAGGTAGGGTTGGGCTTCAACCACACTCTGTTTGCCCTGGGGCGAACTGAGTGCATGAAGACTGTACAGATAGCGCATGAGTGCCACTGGCTCGCTTGGCAGCTGCCAGGGTCAGCTTCATGTCACACTGTATTCAGATTGTACCACTCACGGGCCAGGCCCATAGAGCCAAGCGCTCTGGGTGTGGGTGAAAGATTGCCACCCCCGCTTGGGACAGTATGTCCCTGCGTAGTGGGAGCTGCCATGGCTGCCCGCACAGCAGCTGATATATCTCAGCTGGCCAGTACATAGCTGGCCAGTGCGGAGCTATCAGGATAAGTGTGTGGCGTTGCTCTCTCACTCTGGCCAGAGTTGGGGGTATCAGAGCCAGGGGTGGGAACGCGTACAGAAGGCCCGGGGGCCGATCGTGCGCGAGTGCATCCACGCCTAACGGTGCATTTAGATCGCGCATCGAAAAGAACAGCTGACACTGAGCGTTGTCTTTCAATGCGAACAGATCCACCGCGGCTCTGCCGTAACGCACCCACAGCTGGCTC